AACATCGATTGCGTGCCTCCGGACCAGCCGGTAAGTGAAGACTAGCCCCATGTTTGCCCCTTCCTCCAATAGCACCTCAGCACACAAGAGAGATGGCAACTTACTAACTTGGCCCCCTGTTTGCTTACCTCTGGCTGCAGGGTGCACACCAGACAGCCCAGTCCCTCAAGATGAGCAAGTGTATCCTCGTCCATCACAGACCTCCACAAAGTGCTGCCCAGTTCCACTTCTCCTGCCTCTTTCAAGCCCCAGTATCCGTCTGGTCCTATCCCTCTCCCAGCTACAGAAACAAACCTGGGGAGCTGAAAGTTACTAACAGCTCTTGATGGCACCTGCGTCTAGAGACAGTGTAATTTATTCCTTCTAATAATGGACATCCCTGCTATTCCTCTTCTGTGAAATATTCAGTGGATAATAATTTGTCCTTGATTTTCAAATAACTTTTCAAAGAGACTCACTCACTGCTGTATTTGTTGTTTTTTCTTTTCAGGCAATTTTGTACAGGTGAATTCAGGTATGTAGGATCAATTTTTGTCTCCTCTTAAGCAGTAAGTTCACACAAGCAGGGAGAGTTATGGACAGAAAGTAGGAAAAAGATGTACTTGTTCTTAATCTCCTGCCAATGATGGTCTTGTTACCTGCATGAATGCAAAATGAAGACTCTTGGAAAACACTCATTTGACATCAAAAATATTTTTGCTGTTTGTCAGACTGAATTGGCTACAAACTGCAATATTGCCAAACGAGCTGCCCTCCCAAGTAGTGTAAGAGGGAAACATGTCAGGGCAGCACATAGGAATTGATCTCCTCAGATTGGAGCTCTTGGGACTAAAGATTCCTGGGCGGGGGGGGGGTTTCGTGTTGTGAGGTGCAGTGACTCCCAATGCCCTTTCTTTTTCTTGTAGGAAAGATGGTGTCCCAATAGGTTACAAAGGGAGCACTTTCCACAGGTAAGTACTTTTCCTTCTAATGCTTAAAACAGCTTGGTGAACTACAGGTGTTCTGGAGGCATTTAGGGGGAGGGATAGCTCAGTGATTTGAGCATTGGCCTGTTAAACCCAGGGTTGTGAGTTCAATCCTTGAGGAGGCCACTTAGGGATCTGGGGCAAAATCAGTACTTGGTCCTGCTAGTGAAGGCAGGGGGCTGGACTCAATGACCTTTCAGGGTCCCTTCCAGTTCTACGAGATAGGTATATCTCCATTTAAAAAAAAAAAAAGCCCTCTTTTTAAGGACTTCTTTAAACTAAGGGTACGTCTACACTACCTGCTGGGTCGATTTATCGGGGGTAGTGATTGATCTATTGGGGATCGATTTATCGTGTCTAGTGTAGACGCGATAAAATCGATCCCTGATTGCTCTGCCGTCGACTCCGGAACTCCACCACGGCAAGAGGCGGAAGCGGAGTCAACGGGGGAGCGGCAGCAGTCGACTTGCCGCCGTCCTCACGGCCAGGTAAGTCAACCTAAGATACGCCGACTTCAGTTACGCTATTCGCGTAGCTGAAGTTGCGTATCTTAGGTCGACCCCCAGCTAATGTAGACCTAGCCTCAGAGGCATGCTGTACACATCAAAAAATAGTAGCTCTGCATTTGTTTTCCTTCTGTAACCTCTGTCTTGGGTGACTGTCCGCTGCGGTTCTTGCTAGCCCTTCTGTTGTACTTACAGAGAGAAACCACAGCCTTCTAGGTGCCTTTGACCCAATATACAGGCAGTACCTCCTCCTTTCTCTGCCTCTCTTGAGATCAGGGTTCAGTTCCCTTTGAGTACATCACCAGATCTAACGGCCAAGGGCCGCAATTCGTTTTAGCTTAAACAATGGGAATTATATATTGATGCATTGTGGGGAATATCTCTCTTTTTCACTGACATTAAGCTTCTCAAGAAGTTTTTTCAGAAAAAAGTAACTATTTTTTTTATTACTTTAGAGTCATTAAGGATTTCATGATACAGGGAGGTGACTTTGTAAACGTAGGTACTCTGTGTTCTTTTCCTTTCTTAAAGGATGTGGTGTGTTGCTCTCTTTCCTGGGTATATATTCATCTGTTTTCTATTCACTATTTCTTTTATGAGAAGATATTACTTGAGAAGCTTTGCTGGTGTTTTCCTATTCTCTGCACTGGAATAAATTGGAACATGCTAGGAAACAGATATCTGGGAACTGGGCAAAATGTTTTCTCTGCGGCATCTGGAACAGCATTAGCTAAATCATCATGTATTTCTGACATGCAAAAATTCCCTTTCCTTGGGTGAGAGGTGCCAGGCTCTTCTGCCGCAATGACCGTCCTCTGCAAAGTGGGGTTTCTGTGGCCTGCTGGAGGTGCCTCTGACCATGAGAGAGTTCATTCCACATAACACCAATGTTCTCCATCATCTTTTCTGGAGAACGTTTGGTCTGCCAGTTGAGGGTTGAATTTGACGTTCATGTTTTCAAAAGGAAGTGTAATTTTCTGCACTACCAGATTAACCAGTGTTTCATAAACTGCATCTCACACTGGTGAAGAAAAAATATAATTGGTTGTGTGGCGAGAACGTCTCTATTTAGAGGAAATGGAGCTTCTACTAAGGGTGACTAAGTTTGATGGTTTTTCCCCTACTGAACTGTCTCAGAATTAAAAGATAATTTCTGCTTGAAATTTCTAGGCTTCAGGCTTTGGTAAGAGGAGAATATTTTTTGAAGTTTGAGGTTCATTGAGCTATTTGGGAGTTGGGGAAATTGCTATTTTTTCACTTGGAATTATGAGTTGGCAAAATGAAAAACAGCTGGCTGTTCAAAACAAATCAAATAAAAATGGTCATACTTTGATTCTTGATGATAGCTCTCCCAAACTGGCCACAGGAAGCTTGGTTTAGCCACGTATGTTTGTTTAAAGTCAGGTTCTTTACTCGTGAGTGCTCTTCTAAAACCCACAGGGACGTCTGATAACTTCCAGTAGAAGTTTCGCAAAAATTACAAGATCCACTGACACTTGTAACTTATTACTACTACTAATTATGAGAGAAAAAAATTGTTTATTACTGTAGAGCTAGGAACCAACTGAGTGTGTTGTGCTGGGCATTAGACTGAGAGCAGTAGCCGGCCCCTCCCTTGAAGATCTTGCAGTCTAACCAGACAAGACTAACAGCGACAGGGTAGAATGTACAGAGCAGAATAAGCAGTGATAGCGGCAAACATCATGTTAGTGCCACTGTGCTTGTTCTTAAAGTGTTTGGTGTGATTTAGTGAGGGAGGGTCTAAGCTAAACAGATAGACAAGGGGAGTGGGAGAGAGGAGGGGGCTGGGGCAAACACCAGTCAGCACAGGGGAAAAGAATGTCCAGTCAAAACGGGGGGGAAAAATGCATTATCTGTGTCTAGAAGCCCTTACTTACACTGCTTCTGCAGCCGCTCTGCCAGTTTTGGCCTCAGGCAGGTTTGTTCTGACTCACTGTTTCTTTCCCTAAGGCCACATGTCTGAAGGCAAGGGATATGCCACAGGAGCCCTAGTGCCCCCAGAGGGGGTCTCCCCTGCATAGTTCTGGATCTGGAGGGTTGTGAGGAAGCAGTGGCCCTCCTGCACTCACAAGTAATAATACTTGAAGGAATCACCTGTTAGACATCATGGAAGTCGGGCTGTCAAGTGGTTAAAAAAAAATTAATCATGCGGTTAAAAAAATTAATTGTGTGGTATTGAACAATACTAGAATACCATTTATTTAAATATTTTTGGATATTTTCTACATTTTCAAATATATTGATTTCAGTTACAACACAGAATACAAAGTGTACAGTGCTCACTTTATATTATTTTTATTACAAATATTTGCACTGTAAAAACAAAAGAAATAGTATTTTTCAATTCACCCAATACAAGTACTGTAGTGCAATATCTTTATCATACAAGTTGAACTTACAAATATAGAATTGTGTACAAAAATAACTGCACTCAAAAATAAAACAGAGCCTACAAATCCACTCAGTCCTACTTCTTGTTCAGCCAGTTGCTCAGACAAGTTTGTTTACATTTGCAGGAGATAATGCTGCCCACTTCTTGTTTACAATGACACCTGAAAGTCAGAAAAGGCGTTCACATGGCACTGTTGTAGCCAGCATTGCAAGATATTTACGTGCCAGAGGCACTAAACATTCATATGTCCCTTCATGCTTCAACCACCATTCCAAGGGACATGTGTCCATGCCGATGACGGGTTCTGCTCGATAACAATCCAGAACAGTGCAGACCAACGCATATTCATTTTCATTATCTGAGTCAGATGCCACCAGCAGAAGGTTGATTTTCTTTTTTTGGTGGTTCGGGTTCTGTAGTTCTGCATCGGAGTGTTGCTCTTTTAACTCATAGACTCATAGACTTTAAGGTCAGAAGGGACCATTATGATCATCTAGTCTGACCTCCCGCATGATGCAGGCCACAAAGCCGTCCCAACCCTTTCCCTTAACTCTGCTGTTGAAGTCCCCAAATCCTGTGGTTTAGAGACTTCAAGTAGCAGAGAATCCTCCAGCTAGTGACCCCTGCCCCATGCTGCGGAGGAAGGCGAAAAACCTCCAGGGCCTCTGTCAATCTACCCTGAAGGAAAATTCCTTCCCGACCCCAAATATGGCGATCAGTAGAACCCTGAGCATGCAGGCAAGATTCTCCAGCCAGATCCTCATTGGCCATTGATACTATTTACCAGCGATGACACACTGTTCATTTGACTAAAATCACGTTATCCCATTAAACCATTCCCTCCATAAACTTATTTAGCTTAATCTTAAAACCAGACAGGTCCATCGCCCCCACCGTTTCCCTCGGAAGGCTGTTCCAATATTTCACTCCTCTGACTGTCAGAAACCTTCGTCTAATTTCAAGCCTAAACTTCCCCACGGCCAGTTTATATCCATTCGTTCTCGTGTCCACATTAGTACTGAGCTGAAATTATTCCTCTCCCTCCCTGGTATTTATTCCTCTGATATATTTAAAGAGAGCAATCATATCCCCCCTCAGCCTTCGTTTGGTTAGGCTAAACAACTCAAGCTCCTCGAGTCTCCTTTCATACGACAGGTTTTCCATTCCTCTGATCATCCTAGTGGCCCTTCTCTGTACCTGTTCAAGTTTGAGTTCATCTTTTTTAAACATCGGAGACCAGAACTGCACACAGTATTCCAAATGACGGTCTCCACCAGTGCCTTGTACAACGGAAGCAGCACATCCTTATCCCTACTAGATATACCTCGCCTAATGCATCCCAAGACCGCATTGGCTTTTTTCACCGCCACGTCACATTGTCAACTCATAGTCATCCTGCGGTCTACCAGGACTCCGAGGTCTTTCTCCTCCTCCGTTACTTCTAACAGATGCGTTCCCAGCTTGTAACTAAAATTGTTGTTAGTCATCCCTAAATGCATCACCTTACACTTTTCACTATTAAATTTCATCCTATTTCTGTTACTCCAATTCACAAGGTCATTCAAGTCTCCCTGCAGAATATCCCGATCCTCCTCCGAATTTGCAATATCTCCTAACTTTGTGTCATCCGCAAACTTTATCAGCCCACTCCTACAATTGGTTCCGAGGTCAGTAATAAATAGATTAAATAAACTCATCTGAAAGCATGTTCCACACCTCGTCCCTCTCAGATTTTGGATGGCACTTCAGATTCTTAAACCTTGGGTTGAATGCTGTAGCTATCTTTAGAAATCTCACATTGGTACCTTCTTTGCGTTTTGTCAAATCTTCATTGAAAGTGTTCTTAAAATGAACAACATGTGCTAGGTCATCATCCGAGACTGCTATAACGTGAAATATATGGTAGAATGCGGGTAAAATAGAGCAGGGGACATACAGTTCTCCCCCAAGGAGTTTAGTCACAAATTTAATTAACGCTTTTTTTTTTTTTTTTTTAATGAGCATCATCAGCAATGTTTAGCAGATCTGGCACGTAAATACCTTGCAATGCCAGCTACAAGGGTGCCATGCGAATGCCTGTTCTCACTTTCAGGTCGCATTGTAAATAAGCCTACACCATTATCTCCTGTAAATGTAAACAAACTTGTTTGTCTTAGTGATTGGCTGAATAAGAAGTAGGACTGAATGGACTTTTAGGCGG